TGGGATATTATCTTTTTGGTAATATTTCCATGAGAAGCTCCAAAGCTGTGAAACGCCAGGTTCTAGAGGAAGAGCTGCCCACCTCCTACAGTCATGGTGACCCCCTAAGGTTTTTATCAGCCCCCCTCCAGAAAGGCATTTAGTCCACCCACCTGGCTAAATGACTATTCACCTCCTGACTTGTGGTCTGTAATTATCATTCCATTTCTGGGGAACTACGGATACATCCAGCTACAGACCCAGTTCAAAGTGAGGAGGAGGAACATGAAACTGCCATATCTGGTTTATCTTTTTCTTTTTTTCTTTTTTGAGTAAGCAATGAAAGAACTAAGAGAGTACACACATTCTTCATGTCTTGGATCAACAAAGGAGCCATGCCAAATGTCAGATTAAATATTCCACAGCTGAAGTGTTTGCACAACTTTTCAGTGGCTACCATTTAAAGAAACAAAAACAGTGATGGGCCTCAAAAAAATTACCCTTCCTTTGACACGCTCACAGTGTTCTGCCAGCAGTTGCTCCAAGTTGGAAGGCCAGCCCCTGCATATCTTGTCCATGGACCATGTGTGCCAACTGGCAAGCATAGATTTGGGTATCAATTCCATGCAGGGGCATGAAGTCCTACTGTGTGCCTCACAGGCCACAGCTGTACTGCTGTCTTGTTTCACCCATGACTGTGTTGGCTGAGGAGCTGGCCGTTTACAGAAGGAATTTCCTGATCCTTCAAGTATCTGTCATGTTTCAACAATGAGTTTGCACTCTCTGTTTTGCGTGTCTTTTCAGTTTGGGTTGGCTCCGAGGGACTGCTGGGGAAACCAGAGACAGATCTTTTATTGAAACAAAATAATAAGTCTGAACAAATCAACCTTGTTATCATTGGCTCCGGTAAGAAGCATATTCTTTTCAGCTTTATATTTCTACAGGATTGCTCAAGAGGCGATGCTTCCCCCCTGCCAGGTTATGCTAAGGACATAAGAAAACAGAAAGAGCTGGAATGCTTGGAGAAATCCAAGGGCTTTGTGCATTTTCCAAATTACCTTCCTTTACAATCTGAGGTGGTTGGTGTGTCTCCCTCATTTCTCTTATAAGGAAAGAGAAAGACAGAGCATCTCTTACCTGGCCAATGTTGTATGAGTGACAGTGTAGCTGTAAAGTCTGACATTGGTCACTTGTTCTCTGTGATCCCAGGCAAGTTACTTCACCTCTATATTCTAATTTAGCTCTTTTAGAAAGTGGAAACAGTAACAGGAATTGTTTGCTGATATTGACATAGAATCTTGAGTATGTGAAGTGAGCCCAGGAGCAAAAGGCAAGGCAGGTCAACCACCATCAACCGTGCAGACTGAGACCAAGGGCCAGTCTTCTCACAGCAGATAGTGAGGGCACTTTCCTCTCCTGGAAGTCACTATCTTTCCCCATATTCTCCATGGCAAGGTTGGAGGTAACAAGAGACTCCGAAGAGAGGTATTGTGTATTCTTTTATTTTTATGTGCTCTTCCAGGACTAGAGAGATGGCTCAATTGTTAAGAATGCTTAGTCCACTGCAGAGTACAGGGTTCAGTTCTCAGCACCTACCTAGCATGGCTTACACCACCAGAAAACTTAGAAAATGGGATTGGATGCTCTTTGACCTCTCTGAGCACCTGGAGACATGTAGTGCTTATAACGTCTTCACACACACACATACACATAAATAATTAAATAAATATATAAAATTACTTTTCCATGGAGGTGAGCTAGGCCTGAGGCTCTAGCTCAGATTACAACTGCAAAAGAAACTGCCTTTATGTACCCAAGTAGCATAAGTCTCCACGGGCAATGGAGACACATCTGGGCTCTGTTCTATCATTCCCAGGTAAGCACTGTAGATTTAGAGCAGGAAGCACAAAGTCGTGGCGGTTGAGGTCTGGTCCATTCCAGCTTGACTGTTTGTGATAACAGGTATCGGTCATCAGAGGGCCTGTCGGCTTCAAAACGCCACCCAGATGCATCCCACATGGCAAGCTGTGTGGTAGTCCTTGGATCCAAAGATGAGTCAGAAACAATCCTTTCTTCCCAAATGAGGCTGTAGACTACAAAGGGCTTTCTGTCTCATGTTTTAATTCTACACCTTCTACAATCCATTTAGAATAAAGTTTTTTTTCATACATCCTTATTAGTCGGCACATAATGGGACAGTTTTGAAGGTTTGTGATGAGGGTTCCGTAATTTCCATTAACAATCCCCAGCAAGAAAGCAAAACCGAAAAGGAAGAGAGAGGCTTACAATACAGTCACTGGGTTAGTCACTTGAAGTTGCCCTTCTCCAAGTCCTGCTAAGGTATGAGGGCTGTCGTTGTTCCACCTGACCCCAGAAGATTACAAGAAGAGCTGAATGCCTGCTCCAGCTTTGCCACAGACAAGCTATGAGATTTTAGCCAAAATCTCTCATCTTGCCTTGGCCATATGTTTACCTGGAAAATGGAGAAGATGAAGACTATTCAAGCTATAGTTACATCATCCAAACATGAAAAGAGCAATTCCCCCAGAAGTCTCTCTTATGCACTAAAGACACACTTTCTTATATTGCTTCTCTTATGTGTACTTGCTTCTATTGTAGGTAAAAATTTCAGAATACTTTTACCATTTCAATGTCTTCCTGTATAGCCTATGCTTATAAATGTTTCAATAAGAAGAGTGTGGAAAGGGATAACACTAGAGAACAATTTCTCACTTCCACACCCATGAAGGGCCTTATACAGAATGAGATGAATAAAACTGTTTTTCTGAGGACCAGTGCAGTGTCCCCAAGGTTGGAGATCTAGGAGGCTCTTAATTTGAACAACCCTCTGCTTGACTTCAAAGTGCAGTTCCTTAACTATTGTCCAATAAGTGTAAACACTATGAGCATAGTACTAATTTGGAATAGGCAAAGAAGAAAGACCTCTTGTGTGTGTGCTAGTTTATGGTTGTAGCTGTTACTTTCTGTTATTTTCTGTGAAAAACGATTTGCAAAAGCAACATAGGGGAAGAAGGATTTATGCTCACTGATAATTTAAGAAGAAATATGATCCATCATATTAGGAAGGCATGGTGGCAGGCAGCATGAGGCAGGCATGAGCTCAGACTGCATCTATCCAGGAAACAAAGGGAGACGGATGCTGGTCCTCTTGTCTTCTTCTCTTTCGCCATTGAGTCTAGCCTAAGGCATGATGCTATCTACGTTTAGGGTGTGTATGCCTTCTTCAGTTAATCCTCTCTGAAAATAGCCCCAGCAGACACATCTACAGGTGTGTCAGCTAGGTGATTTCAAATCCAGACAAGTTAAAAATGAAGATTAACCACCACAAAGGCTTTGCTCTGAGGCTTAGATAAGAGTTATAAATATGTATGTGTGGATAGAAATTTACATGATCTAAGTAACAATCCAGTGAGAATATATAATACTGGCTAAAAGATGTGGTGTCTCTTTACAATCTTCTCTTCTAGCAGGACCTTTGTCCTCTCTGAAGTAGATAAAGAGCTGTATCACAATCACTTCTCCCTGAAAAACCTCGGCTGTGAATTCCCAGAATCCTTTGTAAAGATGATTTTTGGGTCCCATTCTCTTGCCCTGGGACCTTTGGGCTGCACCTGTGCTTAGAATATTATCCTCCCCAAGTCCTGTTTGGCTTGTTTTTGTTGCCAGTGTTTTCTGTTTGTTTGATAAAATATACTCACAGGGGCTACTTGGTGGAGAAATTATTTCTTCTAGTTCACAATTCCAGTACGTTGGCAGGAATAGCCTGAGAGACCTAACTGCTCACAGTATAGCCATAGCCAAGGGTAGAAAGAGAGAGTGTAAACATGGCTGACTTCTACTGGCTCTCTCTCTGTCTTCAGCCCAGTGCCCAGTCCATGAAGTGGTGTCAGCCGCATTCAGGGTTGGTATTTCTCTTAAGAAAGTCTCTCAAAAGTTATATCCACAGGCCAACACAATTTAAACAATGTCTCACTGAGACTCCACACTATCAGGCTGACAATTAAAACTACCAATCATGCCTATGTGCTTCTTTCTTGGAGAGCTATTCTCGAATGCCATTTATCAGGCAGACTAGACTAGGTCTTTTAAAATGGCTTCTTTTATTTTTTTTGGATTATAATATAATACTTTAATAATCATTATAATAATATAATAATATATAATAATAATTTCCATGTTCTCTTTGCTTTTTCCAAACCCTCCCATACATCGCTCCTTGTTCACATTCAAAACTCATGGTCTCTCTTTTTATTAGTTGTTGTTACATATATATGCATACACATATACACACATACACATACATATATATGCATACACACACACACACACAACATATGCTTAGTCTGTGTTCAGGACTGACCATCTCAGATAACCAACTGCTGTGCTCTTTTGTCCCTGTGAAGACCATTTCTCCCACTGTCAGCATCTCTTAATTGCTTGTAGATTTCCTCATAAAGTTGAGCCCCATTCACTACCCCTCACCCTGGCCCCAATAACATGCCTTTTGTTATTGTCTTTGTTCAGCTCATGTTTAGGCAGACATGTTGGTGAGACTTTGTGGGTGTGGCTTCTGCAATGACTAGGAGACACAGTTTCACAGCAATCTTCCTGATTCTCTAATTCTTAGAATATTTCTGCCCTCTTTTCTTCACAGTTCTCAGAGCCTTAGATGTAGGAGTTGTGTTGTAGATGTATCAGTTGGGACTGGGAACCACAACTCTGCACTTTGATTGGTTGCGGTCTCCTCTCCTGGTCTCTCCACCCTCAAGTCTCCAGTTCCATCTCTCTTCATAGTGTTCAAGCTGTTTCACTTCTCTTTCTCTTCCATCTGTCCACCACATACTTGTACGGTGGCAAGTGAGAGCCTGTGGCTTGCCTGTGCCATGGGGCAGAGGGTAGGGCCTTGGGCATCTTTCTGTTGTCACACTATATGGCATGGCAAAACACAGATTTCAGTCTGTCTTCCTCCCAAGCTGTGCTTCCTAGATTTAATTTGATTTTTATTTGTCCTAGGCACAAAACAGCTTTGGCCAATGAGCCAAGAACCAAGCTAGAATGAACAAAGGTCTGCCATCTGCTCTGCCCCTGACTGATATAAGAACACCATCAACACGATGTCTTTTTGTCCAATGGTAGCGGGGGGGGGGGTACTTGTGTTTCTTGTAGGAAGTTTTTATCTCTAGTCATATTATACACTTGTTTTGCTATTTTCTCCTTATTTTACAGTTCTGGAGATTAAACCCAGAACCTTATTTATGCTGGGTAAGTGCTCTACCACTGAGTTATACCTTCAGTTCCATTTATAGATATATTGACCATTCATCTGACCCCGATGCGATAAAAACAAGGGACATAAATTGTTTATTGCTATCTCTGTAGCTGATTTATATGCACATATCTGCAGGACCTTACATAACAATTAAAGATTTGCTTGGTTATTGCAGATCTGCAGACATTTTATTAAATACAGTATTTCATTTGTGACTTGCGTCAGTGTTCAATGGGATGGGACTTTTACCCCTGTGGTACTCAGTTTCAGCAGCTATAGCAGTATCAAAGGCTTGGGGCTTCTTAAACTTCAACATTTCCCATTAGTATCCTCCCCCACCCCTTTGCCAGAAAATTTTATGATATCAAAGGTACATAGGTCCTTTAGTTACTTTACCCATTGCTAGGACAAAATACCTTGTCAAGAGCAACTTCAATAAAATACTTGGCTTGCAGTTGTGGGGAACAGTCCATCATAGCTTGGAATCCATGGCAACAGGAGTTTGAACTACCTGGCCACAGCGTATATGCCGTCAAGAAGCAGAAGGAGATGAATACTTGTGCTCAGGTTACTATCTCCTTTTTATTCAACCCCAGGTCACTGAAATCATGCCACCCATGTTTAGGGTGTATTTTCCTGCACTGTTTAAACTCTCAGCCTTGTTAATATATTCTAGATAACCACCACAGGTATACCCAGTATTTGTTTCAAGAATGGTTCTAGACCCTGTCATCCTGACAGTCAATACTAACAATAACAACAAGAATATGAAATAGTTTACAAATCAAGCATTTACCTATAATAAGTTGTAAAGAAATTGATTTTAAATTAATTTTTTGGTATACATATAATTTATCACTGAAAATAAAAATGAAATTTTATACTCAGGATATGGGTATGCTTTTTTATTTTGCATAAGTTATTGATTATCAGTTACGTATTTGATACTGCAGGATGTAAAACATCTTCCAAAATGTTTTTTTTCCCCCTTTGGAGTTGATGCATATTTTGAGTTTTTTAAACAGTCAATGCTAAGAATGCTGCTTCATGTACAAAATGAAAGAAGTGTGTTTAGAATCATTGCAGAAGTCATTGGAAATTTGGCCCTATCCTAACCCCAGCTATATTTAATGAGTTTTTCAAAAAATGAAATTCAACTCAGAAAAAAAAATAAAGGTTATATTTTTAATTATGTGTATAAGTATGTGTCTGGAAGTAGGTTTGTGTACAAGAGCACAGCATCCTGATAGGCCAGAAGAGGGTTTCAAATTCCCTACAACTGGAGTCTCAGACAGCTGTGAGCCACCTGGCATGGGAGCTGGGTACTGAGCTCTGGTATTCTGCAAAGGCAGGATACATTTTTCATACCTGAGACATCTCTCATGGGTCAGAAAGAGCAAAAATTTAAACCAAAGATTGCAAGTCAATATAATTCAAAGATAAACTACTATGATACTTATATATAGGTGATGGTAGAAAAATATTGTCTTTGTTTCCATAAACTCTATGCTTGTGTAGCTGGAGAAAACCTCGTATGTACAGTAAAAATACTGTAGTTCTTTCCCTAGCACAATTCCCAGTTTGAGCCACCACTTCAGGCTGTGTTTGTTCATGCTACACGGACGTGTCACACAACTAAGAGACTTGTCTCATTGTCTGAACCAAGGCCGCAGTGAAGCCACTCAACAGTGTTGAAAGTTATCAAAACATCCTGGATTTGTCACACATGTGTTTTATAATTACATTTTGCTACCATATGGTCAGAGACCTAGGACTGTTGTCCGTTTTGTTGGCCCTCCCTATATTCATTTATACTCTATGGGATTGTGACCCATAGTTAAGAGGCTGTGGGTTCAACATTTTTTCCTCACAGTTCAAGAGGATAAGATGGAGATATCACTCAACTTATTCCTGGTGAGATATACCTCTTGATTTTCAAGCAAGTGCCTTTTTACCATGTGCTCTCTCACATGCAGGAGAGAGATACTCTCACCTCCTCCTCCTCCTTTGTATAAGGAAGGATTCTAACTCCAGCACATGTGTTCGATCTCTGACTCTATTGTCTCCTGACAGTACCACTGCCACTGAGCATCATCAAGGTTTTGACACCTGAATCTTGGGGAGACACAAACATTCACCTCATCATTCTACCTCACAGATACAAAACAGCAATTCATCTAAACACTTTGAGTTTCAAGGGCAGTAAATTCTGCAGTAAGATCTCAAGGCCAGTGAATCAATGATCTATACTAGGAGCCAGTGTTCTAGCTGTGTTGGAGTCGAATAATCCCTGCTGATCTGGGACTGAATAGTCCAGCCTACTGAAGCAGTTCTCCCATCTGAGCTATGGGCCTTTTTGCATAGATAAGACCCTTTGTACTACCAGCATGACTGTAGATTTCAACTTTTGTTTTATTCTTTAACAGTTATAATTTGGGGCTGGGAAGACATCTCAGTTAGTGAAATGCTTGCCACACAAACATGAAGACCTGAGTTCAAACCTCTTGTACTCATACAAAACTAGACTTAGTGGTACATACCTGTAATCTCAGCACTGGGGAGGAAAGGATAGGAAAATCCCTGTTGCTTGTTAACTAGTAATCTAGCTGAATCCTTGAACTCTAGTTCTCTTATAGACCCTGCCTCAAAAGGGAAGAGTGATAGAGGAAGATCTGATATCAACCTCTGACCTCCAAACACATGTACACATGCTTTCACATTCACAGAAACATATACACATATGAACATGTACACTAGTGCGCGTGCACACACGAACACACATTTGCAGTTACTGTTTTTTTCATTGTTTCACAGTTTACTTTATAGTAGGAATTCTGTCTTCAAACTGTTCTCTTTTCTAAGTTGCAGAAATGGGAAGCCTCTGAGGTAGAATATCCTAAATAGACCACACGGTTCCTAAAAGAGGAGAAGTGGGATTTAATCTCAGATCATCTTGTCTCTGTTTACTTACAACACAGTCTGGTTATCCACATGGCCACAGAGAACTGCCCTGTACTCTCCTGTCTGAGTTGCTTTCTGCAGTAAGTATGTGCCGGGATTGGACTCTCTTTTCCCATGTATCTCCATACTGGAGAGCTCTGTGAATTTACAGCATCCATTATTTCTCTTTCTCTTCTGGAAGAAAGATGCTAAGTAGCTATTTCTGTGTGTATTGGTGCCTTTGGAGAGCTGTTGGTAACAAGATTTCTAGAAGGCAAAATTTTCTGGAAGGCTATGGTGCAAAGACATTTTTACTGTCTATAAGGAGGGTCCTAAGAACTCATGCATCTTCTAAAAAAAAAAAGACCAAAGGTGTTTATGATAGAGATAAAACTGAATTACGCTTCTGCAAAAGACTGCTTATGTGTTTAAAGCAAAGAGCAGCACGGTGACTACTAAAGACAAACAAAGTTCATCAAAGTAATTAGGGGAAAATAACCCCCCTCCCCATGACTCATGTCAAATTCTAAAGCAACCTTTCTGCAAAGGACACAGAACCTTCGTGATGCTGTATCCGTCACAGATCACAGATTTAAGCTAATATAAAGTAAGTAAATAGAGGTGGATTTGTGTTCTTGTTAAAAATGGTAAATGTATATGCATATTCATATACACAAGCAAATACTGTTTTTTAAAATGCCTTTAAGATGACAGGTTGTTTTCCTGGATTAGGTGATACCTTTAGTCCCTAAATATTTCTATAACTGTCAGCAAACCTCAGAATCCTAGAACCCTCAAAGGTAGTCAACTCAGATTCAAAATTCGATGAGATTAACCCACCACTAATCTCTCTATCTATTTTTAACAGAAATAAAATATTCGCTTTCAAAACAATTGGTCATTACAATGACAGACCCCCCCCCCCCACACACACACACTAAGTCCTTCATCTTCCTGAATGGGAATCAAGGGACTAGAAAGGGGTTCTCAACCTGGAAACTATCTTCTCTATGTTGCAAGAAAAAGGAAGAGAGGGATTATGATGATGATGATGAGGAGGAGGAGGAGGAGGAGGAGGGAGAGGAGGAGGAGAAGGAGCAGGAAGAAGGAGAAGAGGAAAAAGAAGAGAAGGAGGACAAGGAAGAAGAGGAGGAGGAAGAAGAGGAGGAGGTGGAATGCATTGTTTAGGCATCACGCAGATTAACTCAAGCTCAAAGTTTCATTTACGTTAGTGTTTCTGTATGCATGGCATGATTCTTCATCTTTTGTAATCACATTCTTTGTTCTGTCTTTCCTAGGGCCAAAGCACAAGGAATCATAACCAACAGCAACAAACCACAAATGTTCTTCAGTTGATGACAATAAAAATAACATAAATATGGAACACTGAATTCACTCAGTAACCCTGATACTCAACACACATGAAAGATTGTCTCATACCTAGTGTGACATAAAGTGAAAACTTGCAGAGAAATCATCTCAGAAGGCTTGACACTGTGGTGCCAAGAACGCCTCCATTCAATGGCACTCTTCCTTGGAAACAGACTCATCTGTAACCTTGGGGGAGAAATTCTGGGCCATCATAGCTAAAACACCCACTGTAGCTTTTGCAACTATAATATAAAATGTTTGGACAGAAAGCTAAGCCTCACTGAAACGCCAATGTTCTCTGAAGATCTGATTTTCTCTCCATGTATTCCATTATTCTGCCAAAGCCAATCATATTTTCGTTCTTCACAGAAACTCAAACAATTTTATGTGAAATAAGCTTCTTAATATGATTTCCCTAGGAGCAAAACAAAATGATTTGTTTGAGGTTCAAAAATTCACTCCAGCAAATCAGTGCTAGGAACAAGAATTCAATTATGTTATTTTTGGGCTTTGTATTCTGGACATAAGCTGTATGGTACATCACATAGACTGTCATCTATC